ACCTAGAACCAGCCAACAAGCCCCTCAGAATTCAAATCAACTGCAAGCCAACCAAAGACAGCACTGACCCTCAACCAACCCATGCAAGCCCCCCCACCACCAGCACTTCACCTCCCAATGACCCTCACCTGATAAAACTTCTCCATCATAAGACCCATCACAAGATTCTAACTGGTGACCCACCCCTGACCCACCACAAGACCCTCACTTGACAGACCCATACCTGATCTATCACAAGACCCATTACAAGACCTATCACAAGACCCTGACCTGACATGTCCCTCACCTAATGTGTCCTCACCATCAGAAGACCTACTGGCCACATGAAGCCCTTATAAACAGAAGAACACTGACACTGACATTCCCTAAATTCAACTGAAGATGTTACCTAGCCTGGTAACAAAATGGAAACAAACCTACAAGCTCAGAGAACGAATCTCCACCTTCAGCAATAATAAATTCTTCTGTCCTTTGAACACAACAAATGCTGTTGGTTATTTGCACCTGACAACAATTAGGTGAAAACACAGATGTATCTGGGGAGTATCTGAATATGTAGTGACTCTATCCAAAAACAATGCTTTCAGGCCCATTATATGTACATGATCAAATTTCCAGGGAAGCAGTTACATGATATTTGCATGTAATGTGAACACAAATTCAGCATGCAGTTTTTCATGCAAACATGTAAGAAACATTTAAGAAATTGTCCCACACTAAGTAATTTTAGAGTGTAGGTTCTTTATTACAAACCATGAAAATGAAAGTTTAGAATACCGGTATTCTGTTTATATTATTGTTATAGCTTTGGACAGGAGGTGTAACTTTATTTGCAATATGTTTTGGGAGAGATTGACAATAGTACCTAGGAACTTACGACCTTTATGGAAAATTTAAAATTGTTTTTCACACCTCCAATACCAACTTCTTCATTTGGTAGAAATATGTTTAGAGAATTCAGATTGAAATGTAAGGTGTTACAAACCATCTGTTTTCATTTCATTATATTCCTTTCTTCAGAACGGAAACAGATGAAATTGGACGTTTGCTTTAAACTATGGAATTTGTATTTTGTCATGTTTTCCATTTCTTAGGGAAAGTATCAGAGAATTTGTTATTTTTACTTATCGTGTCAGAAGGGTATATTGATGAGAAGACAAAGGTCCAATTGTGTTAAAATAAGACATGACATATTGATTAATTCTTTTTTTATTCAAAATAAAACATAAAAAGCTTTTGTTTTGCTCCTGTTTATAGCAGAAAATTAGAGGCTACTGGCAATATTGCATTTCCCAATAAACATTCATTATCAGAAGCATCCTCTTTTTTTCATAATCCTCTGATCCTAATCCTCTGATCCTAAGGTTGGTGCTTCCATTGCACAGACAAGACACTGGTTAAAACAAAGACAGCTAAATGCAAAGCTAACAGACTTGATAGCTGTTCTCTGGTCTCTTGCTAGGCTTTATATTAGAGCTCTGAATGTATTTAACAGTAAGTCCAAGTGGCTAGAGGGAACACTTTTCTGAGTAGCTGGAGAAACTCCAGGGATAAATAAAGACAAGGATAAAGAGAATGGTACAAAGCTGGCAGTTGTGAGCATTACAAAAAAATAGCTTGGCTTCAGTATGGCTTTATTGGTATTGAGTTGTATTTATGGCCAATTTCCTGCTGGTTTTCTTTCTTCCAAGTAAGTCTCTCTGAGTTCAATGAGACATACTTTTTAGTAGGTGTTTTTTTTTTAAGACTCTAGAGCAGGACTGTCCAACCTTGGCAACTTTTAAGACTTGCGGACTTCAACTCCCCAGCCAGCCAATTCTGGGAGTTGAAGTCCACAAATCTTAAATTTGCCAAAGTTGGATACCCCTGCTCTAGATTGTGAAGACACCTCCCACCAAATACAGTAGTGCAGTAGTAATTGTTTCAGAGAAGGAATAATTGCAGACATCAATATGCACAATTTTATTAAAGGAAATATCAACATTTCAGGAATATTTATCACCCACACAGACCATCAAGATCAGAGTGGAGAAGGATTCACTTGTAGTATTCTGTTGAAATAGCATGTTGTCAGCTTAAATGTTTATGTATAAATGCCTTAGATAGATGACAGGTGTCCTACATGTGTTCCAGAAATTACTATTATTTTTTTTGTCAACAAAAGCAATGTGAGGTTTTTTTTTCATAAATTCCTACAACATAAATAACAACATCCAACTTTTTATAGATGGTTACCATAATTATATAGGTAACTGATCTATTGTCAACATGTACGATTAATTTCTTTGTTTCAGCAAAAGCAGAATTAATTCCTTCTAAAATAAGAATGGATATTTGTGGTGATTTGGTAATGAGGGAACACCCTTACCGAGGACAGATTTGATAAAATCCTCATCATGTCAGTGGAAATGAAATTGAACAAAAAAATTGATGTATTTCTTGGTAATGTGTAAATGCTTTGGGTAGGGTTTTCTGTAATGAGAAACTTGCTGATACATGGACTTGGCTAGCTCTGTTAATGCTGTGCACAAACAGCACAGCATTTCCTTTCTCGATCATCTTTTTTTTCCCCCTTCTCTAGGAAATGCTTAATGGGTTTTCTCTACTTTTATTTGAAGTCTAACCTGCTACTGAGAATGTGGTGCACTGGATTTTAAATAATAATCTGTGTTTATCGGTGACAGTTACAGTGTATTCTCCTATATTTACATGAATTATTTGACAATGTGTCAGTGAGTCAATGAAAGCTTCTTGTTCCAGGTGATGGAAATGCATGTTCTTCTTTTAAACATTTAAACAAGTGAGATGTAGTGATTAAGGTGCTAGATCAGGGGTCTTCAAACTTGGCCCTTTTATGACTTGCAGACTTCAACTCCCAGAATTCCTCAGCCAGGCACACTGGCTGAGGAATTCTGGGAGTTGAAGTCAACAAGTCATAAAAGGGCCAAGTTTGAAGACCCGTGCGCTAGATCAAGAGTGGGAAACCTGAGTTCTTGTCGCGCACCATGGCATTGGACCTGGTTACCTCCGAGACCGCCTTCTGCCACAGATTACCTCCCACCGGCCGATACGCTCCCACAGAGAGGCCCTCCTCAGGGTGCCGTCAACCAGACAGTGTCAGCTGGCGACACCCAGGGGGAGAGCCTTCTCTGTCGGAGCACCCACCCTCTGGAACGAGCTGCCCCCAGAGATCCGGGTGATTCCGGATCTCCCCTCCTTCCGCCGCGCCCTCAAGACTTGGTTATTTCAGCGGGCAGGACTGGCCTACGGGTATTTTAATTGGTTTTAACAAAATTTTAGTAGAAGCGGCCTATTCAAATATTTATTTTTAATCATTTTTAAATTTTGTATGGTATTGTATTATTGTTTTTAAACTGGCTGTAAGCCGCCCTGAGTCCTCCGGGAGAAGGGCGGGGTATAAATTTAATAAAATGAAAAATGAAATGAAATGGGTAACCTTTGACCAGTCACTCTCCCTCAGCCCTAGAAAGAAAGCAAGGACACACCATTTCCAATGATGTTGCCTAGTACTCTAGAAAGAGTACAGAGAAGAGCAACAAAGATGATTAGGGGACTGGAGGCTAAAACATATAAGGAATGGTTGCTGGAATTGGATATGTTTAGTTTAATGAAGAGAAGGACGAGGGGTGACATGATAGCAGTGTTCCAGTATCTCAGAGGTTGCCACAAAGAAGAGGGGGTCAAGCTACTGTAGTTTCCAAAGCACCTGAAGGCAAGATGGAAACTAACCAAAGAGAGAAGCAACCTAGAACTAAGAAGAAATTTCCTGACAGTTAGAACAATTAATCAGTGGAACAACCTGCCTCCAGAAGCTGTGACTGCTCCAACACTGGAAGTTTTTAAGAAGAGACTGGTATAATGGTATAGGGTTTTCTGCCTGAGCAGGCGGTTGAGCTAGATGACCTCCAAGGTCCCTTCCAACTTTATTATTATTATTATAGATAGATTTGTTTAGGTAAGAGTCAGGTCTGATTTGAAGGGGGAAGAAAGAAAAACAAGAGTTCACCTACATGAGTGGTTTTTTTTTTATTTCAAGCAAGATATGTAAAATACATTTAAATCCAATTGAGGTTAAAGATTTTTATAGAAGGATATCTTCCATATTACAGGAAGCAAACATTCTAGTACATTGTGTACTGCATTATTCACCTATAGAATATACATGATAATAGTCTAGATATGAATATAAAAAAAAATAAAAGATTGCCTTAAAAACAGGCAGTATTTCTTAATGCAGTAATTAGCGCATCAGTCATGAATAGAATTAGCAATTAGGATTCTCTGAGGTCTGGGCAAAAATCAATTTCAGGCATTCCATATGTGTGATTGTGTTTAGAACAACCAAGGAATAATTGGGAAAAAAATCTATTAACAAGGCTACTAGTTCTCATGGAGAAAATTCTATTTGCACTGGAGGTCTACTCCAAATTTATGTTAATAGCATACTTGGCAATAGTAAGGGATCATGCATAGCCTTTATGTTTTTGCTGGCTTCATCACACCCCCAGTACATATAAGTACAAAATCAACTAGAATAAAATGAGATTTAGCTAGCTAGAATTAATTTATGCTGGTTTGTATTATTACACTGATTTCTATTTATTTCAGAATTTAAATGCAAAGGAGTCAGGAGGTTCAGTTAACCAAGTCCTGAAGCCAAATTCTCATTCTAAACATTTATCCTCAATTTATATACCACTATCATTCTACAGCAGTAGTAATCCCCAAATTCCAGAAATAAAAAATTAAACTTATGCTTGCTTAAAAAAACAGCTTTTGCTATCAGATCTTATTTCTACAGTTTATGAAGCTTTTATTTTTCATGCTGACCCTTGCAGGTCAAATGCACCAGAATCTAAGTCAAAATTGTTAAGACATTTTTGTCAGTTTATCAATGTCTTTGTTCATGTAACAAATAATGTCTAAGGAAGTATAAGCAATTTCTCAGTGAATTCTTCTTTGTATTGTTTCTTCTACAGAATCCAGTCAGGCTCCTATCTCAGCACTGGTTGGTTCACCTTAATTCTAGCGATGGATGCCTGCTACAGAATACAAGTCTATGGAATGATAAATGACACGTACTGCAAGTAAGATCACAGCACATTATTTTGATCCGCCCACAGATCTAATGCCCTGTCAAAGTTTCACAATTCATTTTAATATCATAAACCCAACAAATGCATTAGGCAGCCGCTGCCTAGCAAAATTATATTGACATGGTATTTTATTGACAGTATATTTAGTTCCTGTATGATATGCAGTATTGATTAAATAAAAATATTTTATAAAAATGGAATGACCAATGTCACAAAGGCCTTTTAACATCAAAGAACTTTCTGCCAAGTTGGACTGAACTAGGGAAATAGGAAAGTATAATTGTGTTCCACAATTTTTGTGCAGTTAAGAATGTTCAGGTTAGAAAGCACAAATTTGTTCTTGAGCAGATTTTGAGCAAACTTTGCAAATTCCCATCTTCCACGGTGCCAGATTAGAAACCTATGATACAAACCATGTAGATATTAGGAAATTCTGTTATAGCAGTAAAGAGCACGAGTTCAGAGTTGGCTACAAAAATCAGTGCTTTGTGGTGATAAAGTGAGATCCAATTTAAGGAAAGTCCAAAAGAGAAAAATATTGTGTGTGCTGTTTATCCTTCTTTGCAAAATCTCCTTATGTTCCAGGAATTAAGAACTCAGCCCTAATTAGGAATTTGGCCCCTACTCTCCCTTCCCTGCCAATTACAAGCCTCAAAAAAGAGCAACACAGTTTCCTGTTATTTTGAAGAATGAAGCTTATAAAAGCGGTTTTGTGATCTCCCCAAAGGCTGAACATTTTTAAAATAATAAACACACACACAGAGACACACAAACACCCCTTCCTAATATGCAGGAACAAAAAGTATAAACTCACTTATAAGCCAGTTGTAGCCTATGAACAAAATGTTATATTGTTTTCATAATTCACTATTGAAGCCAACATTGCTTTTTGAGCCTAAAAGTATTATGATCATTGGCTTAGTTATATGGATTTTTTGAGACTATATTCCAGGGGTGTCAAACTTGCAACGTCACATGATGTGTCACGACGTATCGCGACTTTTTTTTTCCATTGCCGGCAATGGGGTGGGCGCGGTTTCGGCATGATGCATCCGACCCACAGGCCGGCAGTTTGACATCCCTGCTATATTCTATTACATTTAGATTTTATCTATAAACATAAAATCTAAATGTAATAGATGTACAGGTAGTCCTCGACATACAACAGTTCATTTAGTGACTGTTCAAAGTTACAACAGCACTGAAAAAAGTGACTGATGACCATTTTTCATACTTATGACCATTGCAGGTTCCCCACGATCACGTGATCAAATTTGGATGCTTGGCAACTGATTCATACTTATGACCATTGCAGTGCCTGGGGTCATGTGATCACCTTTTGTGACCTTCTGACAAGCAAAGTTGATGAGGAAGCGAGATTTTCTTAACAATCGGGTTACTAACGTAATACTTTCAATTAATGACTGTGGCAAGAAAGATTGTAAAATGGGGCAAAATTCACTTAACAAATGTCTCACTTAGGAACAGAAATTTTGGGCTCCATTGTGGTCGTACGTTGAGGACTACCTATACACACACACACACACACAAAAAAACCACACACAGACCTGAATATTCCAAATATATAAAAACTCTTATCTGTTTATTGCCATGTTTCATAGACAGACAGACAGACAGACAGATATAGATATAGATATAAAATCATTTTGTGGAAGCTGCTTTTAGAAGCCTTTTTTCAAGTATTTGTAAGGAGAATATTCATTTCTTTAAATGGATAAATTTTGTTTCTAGTTTACCTGTATGTCCCAAATATATAAAAACTCTTTATCTGTTATGGCCTTGTTTCAGAAAGGTGTGCATCATCACATCACGTGTTAGAGGGAATAATTACATTAAATTTGTTGAGCTTGATCAAATTAAGATGTTGTGGATATATATTTTTTTCTGTAAATCTAGTGCTGACACTTCATCCATTGTTCCAATTTATAAGTAGTCGTTGACTTATGACCGCCTTGGAAAGGTTGCTTTTATGGCCCATAAAGCACTTGAAACATCATACTGCCCCTTCCTTGTGGACACAAAAACACATTTCAGTTGCTTGGCAATCTGTTAGCATTTACTCCTGGTTGCCAAGTATCCCACGGTCATATGATTGCTATTTGTAATCTTCTCTGCTGACTTCCCCAGAAAGTCAACAGGGAAGCTGGCAGAGTCGGTCGTAAGCAGATGGGACAGACAGGAACTGCCCACCCAGCCACACATGGGAGCCCTTGACTGCCTCCAAGGGGAACCAGGACAAATGAAGCTGCTGTACCTTGCACTGCTTCAGCCTGCTGCCCACCGAGCCATACACAAGAGCCCTCAGCCAGCTCCAGGACTCAACAGTGCACCATATACCTTTCCATTCATCTGCAACTTTTGACAGATGCACTCAGCCCATGTCAGACACAACCCTACTACACAGGCCATCGTGTGCCATTCTGCCAGTGGGCACTATTCTCACAACTCTTTAGGCTCCGTTTTAAGGAGGCTTTAAGGATCATGGTAATAGCATCCATTTGCAGAATAGTGCAAGAGGTGGGGAGCAGGCCAACAATGTGGGTGAGCCAGGATTGCAGTCATTGAGCAAAACAGTCACATGACATCTTGCGTAATGGCTGCTTCACTTAACAACTGAGATTTCAGACCTAATTGCGGTCATAAGTCAAGGACTGCCCGTATAATAATTGTAGAATATTATAACTGTGGTATAATATTTGAAAGGTATTAAGGATGATACTGTTCTCAAGAACAGTAACAAAATGTAGTTATTTCCCACAAAAGTTTTCTGGATCTTCTACCATCTTTGATAGCAGTTGTGAGGGTGTGCAAATATGTTAATCAGCACATTTCTAGCTTCTGTTTCACGAGGCAACTGGACTTTCTTTTTTCTCTTTGAAGACGTTTTGCTTCTCATCCAAGAATCTTCTTCAGCTCTGACTGGATGGTGGGGAATGAAAGGATGTATACTCCTTGCAGACAGCTCGTCATTTGTATTCTTTTAGACAGTCGTTGATGCCACCTGGAGGCTTATCTGTGTCATCAGGGTCATCTGTGTGGTGCAAATGGGTGTGGAGCCTTCTAGGAACTGTTGAAAGAACTGTGTTGTAAACTGGAGATAGATGATGTTATATCCCTTCCCCTCTGTTGAGAGAGGGCTGTTCAATTTTGACATAGATGGTCTCTTTGACCCCTCTTTCAAGCCAGCGGTCCTCTCTGTCCAAAATGTGGACTTTGCTGTCTTCGAAAGAATGGCCTTTGTCTTTTAAATGCAGATGGACTGCTGAATCTTGTCCTGATGAGTTTGTTATCCTATGTTGTGCCATACATTTATGAAGTGGTTGTTTTGTTTTGTTGGAATTTTGTTGAGGGGTCAAAGACACCATTGTGATTTGCACTACTCAGGTGACCCTGACAACACAAATAAGCCTCCAGGTGGCATCAGGGCTTTTTTTCTCGGAGAAAAGGTGGCGGAACTCAAACCTGGCCACGCCCTCATCAAACCCTAGGACCGCCCCTTTAGAGAACAGGAATGCAAGTAAAATTTGGGAGGGGCTATTTCCGGTGTGGGAGGGGCTATTTCCGGTGCGGCCGGCCCGGAAAAAGGTGCCGGAACGCGGTTCCGCCGCGTTCCG